CTGGTCTGCCTCCCCAGTAAATGTAATTCTCTGTCCATGTTTCATGCCTTTGTCTACATGAACTTCAAGAATCTTGACTTCTTTAATCACCTTCTTCCCTTCACATTTTTTACAGCGGTCCTTTTCATTAATTACCTCTCCTTCTCCATTACAATCAGAACACACAGACTGCATCTGCTGCACCATTCCTGGAGCCAGTTGCCTGATCATGATGCGTACACCTCGACCTCGACAAGCACTACACTTCTGGACAGCTCTAGATTTTCCACCTTGACCACTGCATGCACTACAGAGTACATTCTTGCTAAGTTGTAGTTTGGTCGTTTTGCCATTATACAGATCTTCTAAGGATACTTTGAGTGGATGCATCATGTCCTCTCCTCTTCTTCTGCCATTTCGACTTCTACTCTGATTACCCATGAAGCCGAATAAACCTCCACCAAAAATGTGAGAGAAAATATCATCCATGCCACCACCTCCACCGCTGCCTTCCCGAAGACCTTGCTCTCCATATCTGTCATATAACTCACGCTTTTCTGGATTTGATAGTACTTCATATGCAAAACTTATTTCTTTAAATTTGTCTCTAGCATTTGGATTCTTATCAGGATGATATTCCTTGGCTAACTTTCTGTATGCCTTCTTCAGCTCGTTCTCGCTGGCGCCGGGCGGGACACCCAGGATATTGTACAGCTTGGTGTTGGCGACGTTCGCCATGGCGGCCTGCGGGGCAGCGCTCTAAGAGGAAGGCGGCGGCAGCGCACTGGAGCGAAGCCGGGCCACGAGCGGCGATGGCAGTGGCGGCGCAGCGTCTTGATTTATTTAGCTCATCGTGTATGGAGGGTTCAGTCCATACTCGGCTGGCTGCAAGGCAGAGCGGCACATGGCAGAGAGCAGCAGTGTATGGCGGCAGAAAAACAGCACACAGCAGAGGGAGGAGCAGTGGCTGTGGCAGCTACAAGCCTCTCTCCCTCCCTTATATTGTATTCAGGCTATGCGCCCCAGGGCGGGTGTAGCCCTCACACGCACGCACGCCGGTAATCCCAGCCTTGGATCGTGAGTTAATCAAGAACTCTAGAAGCCTGCCCCAATGACTGCATGAGGCTTTGAGGGGACAACTAGACATAAATCATAACACAAAAATAGCAAATTAGTTTGTATATTTACTTATTATTATTGTTTCTTTGAAACAGAATTTTGTTATGTAGTTCATGCTGCCTTTGAACTCACTGGCCTCAAATTTAAGGTAATCTGCCTGCCTCAGCCTCTCAAGTGCTGGAATTATAGGCATACTATTTAACACATTAATTTAAAGTATAAAATTACTTATTGTTTTTATCTGGTTTTTATCTGTTTTTTTACTTGAAGCATTAGAGACAGTAAACTTTGGGTATGAAGTTTGCACTGGTTCTTTAAAAAAAGATGAAATTTTCTGAATCTTTGATCTGTGCTTCTCATATTTTTTTTGCATAAAGATTCATTTATATATTTGGCCCCAAATGTTAACATTTTATGCTTCTTCATCTCCACCTGGTACATATATTAGGTAACTTCCTTATTGCATACATATT